GGGGGGGCTCAGGCTCAGACATACGGGGTACATTCTAGGATTTAATTCTCTTCAGACATCAAGGTGACGGGAGGGGGAAGGACAAAAGCACACCATCTGTTTCAGAAGAATCATTGACCCGGACCTGGTATTACATTGAGTTGTTTAAGGACTCACGCACCACTGCCAAAATCTGTAACGATCCATCGGAAACCTTTTTTCCGACATGACAATAACTTTGATAATTTTTTTCTGAAAAGAAACCATACTTTGTGGTATGTTTATGAAAAAACAACCAATAAAGATGAAATTAAAAAAAAACCTTTCTGGTGTAAAATTCAGAGTGGCCAGACCAAGATTGAACTCTGGACCTCAAATAATTACACAATCCCTGAAACCAACTGATCTACCTAGTCAACGAAATTAGTTTTGCCAAAACTGCGCTACAATTGCATTATATCTAAATCCATTTTAAGGGGAGGTTACTCTAGATACGAATAAAGACCGTGGAATCTGCCGTGCTTCGTAAGCAACTGGAAACAGATCCTTAAATTAACCATAACCTTATCGGCAGCATTTACGTACAATAATCATACCTCTTTTGCTTTTTAGAAAAAATGCGTGCAGCACCGTAAAATATGTGTTTCGTGTCACCAAGTTAAAGCGAAAGTCGCACAACGATCGATACGCATCCACTTACCTGCTTTGCCTTAAAAGGATCTCCGGGAATATGTTGAAGAAATGGGAAGAAGTTCAAGATTGGGTTCATCAATTTGAAATTTGCATCAAACATTTCCATAAGTTTTGTGAAACGTTCGTCCTTGTAGTCGAATCTCTGTCCAAAAACAATCGAACAAATGACATTTGAGACACTTGTCTGAGTAAGGGCGTGTATGTTAAATGGTTCTCCATTCTTTTCTTCAAGACAAGGGAGATAAGCCTCAATTTCTTCTATTATCTTCGACTCCAGACCTCTCTTTCCGAATCCGAACTCTCGAAGTGTTTTCAAAGCAAACGTCCGATGCTCTTTCCATAAGTCACCAGAACTTCCCGCGATGCCTAAATATAAAAAAAAATGCAGTCATTAACATTTAATTTGTAAGAAATTTCGAGGCAAAGGACAATGAAAAGAGATATAGCTAGGTTTAGGTTTTTAAATTTTATTTTATTTCCAAACACCTTTTGGAGGAATGTCAGGGTAGAGGTACTCCCATCCTCGATAATCTATGGGTTACGCTCACTTACATTTTCTGCATCCCTGAAATAAGTCATAGCAGATTTGAATGCACAAGGTCAGCTATTTGATTGGTCTCGGGTAAAAAAATACTGACCAATCGCTAGACTGATAACCGTCCTTTGGAGATCACAGAGGAGCGACACCCGACTTCAAAGAGGTTAATTTTATCGTTAGGCGACCGCGAAATTATTTTGATGTAAATTAAAGGATCAAACTAGTCTTTCTGTCTCATCCACAAGATGGCGTACAGTGAGACTTCGATTTTGCTTTGACATATTCCAGGGTTGCACAATCTAATTAAAATGATATATTCACATCGCTCCCGTTTACTGATATGTCGCGTTGAAGATCTAACAACATCCCGTAGAGGGTCATATTCAGGCGACCTTTGCATTAACCAATCAGATGAGAGCTTACGCATTTCTGTAAGTGATGATGTAATGATTTCGGAACACACTTGCTATGATAAAAGACCGAGAGGTGTCAAATGAACATCGAAAATGGCGGCGCCCATGACACCACGCCGTGTCTATCTACAAGACAACGATTGTACAATTTGTGGATTTTGCTTTGAAATAAAAGAGACTTCCTCTTCTGGTGATGTTGTCGTTAAAAAGTTTAACAACTTGAAACTAAAATTAACCAATGACAGGCCTCGCAATATTCAAACTATCACTGGACTAGACGAAAAAATGGATTTTGGGCTACGAGGTGTCTGCATTAAATGCTACAGGTCCTGCTTTCTGATTGGTTGAATGAAAGAGTTATGTCGTGTTTTGACATAACACTGTAGCACATTTCGACGGTTTCGCGGTAATCCTGGCTTTCCGTAATCGCCCAAACAGTTCACGCAGAATTTGCACATGGTGGTCCCATGTCTGGGTATAAATAAGGATGTCATCAATGAAGCTGTCTATATTGCCCATGCCATGGAGGAGCTTCCTCACCAGGCGACAAAATGTTGCTGGTGCGTTCACTAATCCGAAAGGCATAACTGTGAATTGAAATAATTCAACTGGTGTTGTGAACACTGTCTTGGGTTTGGAAGACTCTGCCATTGGCACTTGCCCATAACCTTTGCTGAGATCGAGACGTGAAAAATGTCGATGTCCTGACAGTCGAGAAAATATATCATCAGCATTAGGCATCGGTTCGGCATCGAAAACAGTGATTCTGTTGATAAGGCGATAATCGATGCAAAAACGATTGGTCCCATCCTTTTTCTTGACGATCACAACGGGCGCTGCATATGGCGAATCCGAGGGTTCAATGACCCCCATCTTCAACATCTGATCCATCTCCTCTCGAATCGTTTCCTTCATATGATAAGGGAGAAGGTGACCTTTTACTCGTATGGGATCATCTGTAGTTAGTTTGATTTCGTGCTCAACTAAATTCGTCTTCCGTGAGACATCAGTTAGTACTTAATCAACTTGCTCAGCAGAGTTTTTATCTGATATTGTTGGCTCTGAGCTAGCTGCTCAGATACTTTCACATCGTCTACTGTTTGTGTCCTGATTGGACTCCGTATAGTCTCTAATTGTCCTGCAGAAATATCATCACTGTCACATCCTTCATCCTGCGTGACGATAGACGCGCATACCACCGACAGAACGCCAAGTTCTTGTACCATAGCTGAACTTGCAGAGGTCGTGCGTTCAACATACCGACAAAGCAAATTCGCGTGTAGAGTTTTGCTTTTTCCATCGACATTGACTTTATAATCCATCGTTCCTTTCCTTTCCTCAAATATGTACGGTCCTCTCCACTGCATCAGTATTTTTTTGCGTTTGGTAGGAAGAAGGATAAGTACCTTCTGTCCTGGCTCCACGATCACATCTTTTTCCTTCCTGTTGTAATACTTTGCCTGTCGTGTCTTGGCTGCCTTCAGTTGCTCCCGTGCAAGTTTGCAAGTCTCCTCCAGCCTCTCCTTCAGATCGACGACACATTGATATGTAGTCTTGACGTCTACATCAGGTACCTCCTTGGTCCACAGCTCGCGCAGGATCATCATCGGACCTCGCACTGTTCTGCCAAATAACAGTTTAAAAGGGGAAAACCCAAGGCTTTCCTGAGGAACCTCCCGATACGAAAACAGTAGGGCATTGATATACTTGTCCCAATCTTTGGGTCTTTCGGAGCACATCCTCTTTAGCATTTGTTTCAGGGTCCCGTTGAAACGCTCGACAAGGCCATTGCACATCGGATGATATGGAGTGGTTGTCATTTGGCGAAAAGCCAACAGACGGCTGACTTCACGCATCAAGTGAATTGACTACCTTGGTCAGTCAATACCTCGCGCGGAATCCCTACTCTACTGAAAACATCAACAAGCGCTTCAGCCACACGTTCCGTCCCCATCCCTTTTAAAGCTATTGCCTCTGGATAACGCCTCGCGTAATCAACAATGGTCAGAATGTACCTGTTACCCCGGTCTGTTGCAGGTTGAAGGGGCCCAACTATATCAACAGCAACTCGTTGAAATGGAATGTCTAATAAAGGCATTGTCCCCAGAGGTACCTTTGCCACACGCCCTTTAGGGAACGTCCTCTGGCAGACGTTGCATGATCGGCAGAACCTAGTTACATCTGCGTTTACTCCTGGCCAATAAAACTCCATCATTGTTCTGTCGTTTGTCCGCTTGGTTCCTAAATGACCTGACATCATCGAGTCGTGTGCCAGACGAAGTACAATTTCGCGATACTTAGTCGGTACAACAAGTTGTTTGAATGTCCTACCATTTGCTACCACTGGGCTTTGGAATTCTCTATAAATCATGCCGTGATGTTTGAAAAATCTCGATTTCCCTCCATCTCGCCGTTCCTTGATTTCGTCTCTGTCAACCATTTCTCTCATCTTGTCCAAAGTCTCATCCTCCTGTTGAGCTGTCTTTATATCCGACGGTTGAACCTCGTTAAGAGCTTTGGGCACCTTGAGGGCACGGTAATGTCTGTCTTGGAGTCTTTTCTGAGCTCTAGTCTCGACAGCCGCTACCTTTTCCTTCTTCTGACTCCAGTTAGGATTTGGTTCATCTGGGGCTCGGGCTCCCTCTATGTTTCCAAGTAATAGGTCGTAGACCGGCGTTTCTATGCACCAGGCCACCACAGGTCCAACATAATATGGAGTGTCTACCATGACGTTAGCAGTAGGTACCTGCAAAGAACTGCCATCAGCAAGTGTACATGATCGACTTTCGCCAGTCATTTGATCGAGTGTCACTAAACTTCTCTTCAACACCACACCCGTACACCCAGTGTCCCTCAAAACGGAAACTCGTTGACTCCCAACTAAGCCTTCCACTACTGGCATCTTACATGGTGCTGGCATCGGTAAATTACACGATACATTCATGTCTGTCGCATCCTGTAAGTCGCCTCCCTCATCAGTTGACTCCATCTCAACAAAATCTTCAAGTCTTTCGTTCTTTCTTTGTCTCTTATTCCCTCTTTCTCTCCTCACCGACTCACATTGGTTTGACACATCTTCAGGTTCAATATGACTTGATTTCCCAGTAACAGACATCACGCGATTCTTAGAGCCCCTTTTAGGACATCTGTTTGCAAGGTGATCCGTTCCTTTGCACACGTAACACTGTCTAACGCTATCCTTCGGGTTGGCGGATGACACAGGGTTTACTGTATCCGTTTGATCTCGCTTACCAGTTCCATGAGACGAACTTTTACTGCCATTTTGCTTTGGTCGCACTAAATTGGTGGGGTTACCTCTGGCGTCGGCATACTGATCGGCAAGTTTTGACATTTCCTGCATTGATAAAGGCGTGCGCTCCTTTAAGAAACGCGTCAGTTCACTACCACAAGCCTGCAGAAACTGGTCCCTAACCATCAGGTCTCTTAAGTGAGTCAAAGCCTTTACCAGTATTACCCATCTCTAGCCACCTGACAAAGTAACTCTCGAGTCTTACGGCAAACTGAGAAAATGTCTCTCACGTCTCTGGTCTACCTGACCTAAACCGTTTACTAAATCCATCCTCTGTCATTTCAAACCTTTTGAGAAGAGCCGCTTTCAGAATGTCGTAATCTAGCGATTGGTCTCTCGGTAATCCCGAAAACACGTCCAAAGCACGCCCCTTTAGCAGCACACTAAGGTTGGAAGCCCAATGAATCGATTTTTCCCAATGTTGAGTTGTTGCATAACGCTCATATCTTTGTAAGTAGGAGTGTATTTTGTCCTTGTCTTCATCAAATGGCATCAGTTTTGGTCCCCGAACAGATGGTGATGGACTCGCTGCCTCAGTCTTAATGCTGAACTTCTCTTGTAACGTAAGAAGTTCCACCTTCCTTCGATGTTCCTCTACGGCCCGTTCCTCACGCTTCTTCTCAAGTTCACGCTGTAATGCGATTTTCTCTCTCTCCAGTTCACGTTGAAAGGTGAGCTGTTCCTTCTCACGTTGAAGTTGAAGTTCCTGCTGTCGTCGTTCTTCCTCTTGCTTAGCCTCATCACGTTGTGTCTGTCGCTCTTCACGCTGTCTGGCCTGTTCCCCGCTAACAAACTCAACAAGCGGTGCACCCAACAAACCCATATCGTTTCCTAACGCTATCAAGTCTTTAAAGGCTGACATAATGCTAACAAAAAAAATGCAAATTACAATGTAAACAAATGTATGCATTCAATTCCTACAATGAGATAAACAATCACACTATCCCACCGCTGCCACCATAAATTGTAACTGGATGAGCATATTGTAAACTCTCATGAAGGAATAGAAACAGAACACACTGTATTTACATTATTTACAATATTTAATTACCACATATAATAAGAACAAAAGTATATTACATCCACACTCGCATTCACACAGTAAATTACATGTATTTATACAAAGAACATCATATCAATGGGTTGCTAACCATCTTAGTATACAATGTCCTTGAAGCCACCAATCCNACAACCTTCTTCTTTCCCTAAGTGTTGATCGGGTCCCTTTCTGTCAGCTACAACATTCCACCACCACTTAGCTTGGTCATCTTCCCCACTAAAATACCTCTGTATCAATCCTTAAGTGCATACTGACATGTCACACTTGTACTGGGAGTAAACTACAATATAATACAAATAACCCACTGAATAATGATATCATTATACCCTATACTATTTACAACAATGAAACTGACTTGATTTAATATAAATATGTGATTGAAAAGTTTAACTATACACTTCCCAAAAGTACGGCATACAACGCCTTAATATTTCACACCCACTTACCCGTGCGTTCTTTCTAATTAACTGATACCAGCTACCCTGTATAAGGACACTATTTAGTATAAACAATACTAAATAATAGTGATATTGTGTTGTAAAATGTCATATAACCCTGGTACTTATTGTATAAAACCCCATATAACCAAACAATACTATGAGCGCACGTGTATTCACCCAAAACACATAGGTATCTATAAATAGCTCATTATATAAAATATCGCTGTTTATCTACACAGCATGTTCAAAACAATCACACAATGTTACCAAAAAGTGTTGATGGGTACGGTACTCACCGCAAGCTGTAGTTTGCGTTCTAGTGTCCCATTTCTACGCAGTGATTACGTTTGCGTGTTGACATGGCGTCGCTTTCCAACCGCTCACCCCCACATCCGGAACACGTACCCGTAGTCTGAACGCGCCAAACAGGCGCGTAGCTACCATGTAAGCCAATAAGCCCGGGCTTGCACATGATTTTGACAAGTATAGGTTTTCATGACGGTGTTTTTTCTTGCTGATACTATAAAGTGGAGTTTAAGTTTTGAATATATAGTATACATATGTAATTCCTCAGATATGATACATTGTTAATAGTTAGTGGGGGCAACCTCGCTTCTCGAAATGACCAACAAATAACAGGAGCAAGTATAAGGAACCAGTTACAAAGCACAAACAGAAGACGAAACTGTGTGTGAGACTGAGTAAAGGTGACAGTGGGGGTAACCTCGCTTCCCAATTAACTCGGATCAGATTATGAGAAAGACAAACCCAATTGCATGTTCACTAATGCAGAAGTATCAAATGCATTTATCAAGATAAGGTAAAAACCAGACAATGTTTGTATGGAGGGTGTACAAAGCAATACCGACGGTTAATCTTCAGAATTACACTGGATCCACGTAAATAGGTATATAGATATACAAAACATAGGAGTTTTTTCTTGCGGATTAAAACGAGAAAACAGACATCAGGACGTGCTAAATGGCTCCTGAGACGTTCTAGAAAACAAATTTTTTCATGAGGGAGACCCCCCAGACCCCCCTTAAAGGGGGGGGGGGAGACCCCCTCCCATACTCTCCCCCTGCTCGCGCTTCGCGCATCGGGGGGGGGGGGGGGGGCCCCCCCCCCCCCCCCTAAAGGGGGGGGGGGGGCCCCCCCCCCCCCTTTAGGGGGGGGGGGGGGGGCTGCCTTCGGCAACCCCGTATCGGGCTTACACATGGTAAAGGGGCTAGCTACGCGCCTGCCAAATACAAATCACATTATGCGCACTACAGTGCGTTTTGATAAATGCGATAATGCATTCATGTTGACCTCTGACGTGACCCTGTATGGGATGTTGTTAGATCTTCAACGCGACATATCAGTAGACGGGAGCGATGTGAAGATATCATTTTAATTAGATTGAGGGTTGCAGAGAGAGAAAGTGAGCGTAATCCCTTTACTTGAGTATCGAGGATGAGGTGTCCCGGGTTCACCCCTACTACAATTTGTAACCTTATTTACAGGCGGCCCCAAGAGAAATATAATCGTTGTATGTGTAATATATATAGACACTCGAACCGGTATGACTATAGTTTTGACAAATCATTTTCTAAAAAGAAAATCATACCTTGTGCGGGACTTTATGAATTAATAATGAAGATGAAACAATCGGAACCGTCGGCACTTTCCGTACACGATCCAGAAAATCCGTTTTTTTATGAAATACCTGAGAATTTGTTACAGCTTTATTTGGACCTAAACTAAGGTGTTCAAAGTACTTTTACATGTTTTATGGGTTTAGATCGACTTTCGTTAAAAATGCCTCCTCTCCCATTCTTATATATACCTAAAGTCGATTTAAATCCCTAGAACGTGTAAAATTACTCTGAACAACTTAGTTTAGGTAAAAATATAGCTGTAACAAATTCTCAGGTCCCTGTGAGCTAGTCAATAGAAGTGATGCTAGTTATATATAAAACAAACGTTACTGTTTAACGAGACAAGAATCCTCAATATCCCTTGTACGTTGTTAACATAGCTGTAGCCGAATTGGTTAGAGCGTCGGTATAATGATCGGAGTTCCAGGGTTCGAATCCTGATATTTTATACTCAGAACTTGACCGTTGATTGTTCTGTTTTTATTATTTCATTTTTTCATAAAAGTTTCGAAATGTGTAGTTCTCCTTAACGAAATTATTGACAAAGCTTCCTGTGCTTTGACAGTGGTACGGGGATCCTTAAAACGGTAATCTAGAGATGGACTAGTTTAACTCATTCACCCCTGAAATTTCATAATGGACTATTCTAACCTTTGCTTTGGAAGAGTTCAAATGTGTCTTCATAAGTGAATGAGTTAAGTATTTGCGCCGTTTAAACACTCGAGATAATGAAGAACTGTGTAGCAAGCACCCACGGCCGGTAATGGGAACATATTAACATTTTTAAATGCATCAAATAATGCACGGAGGTTGTATACAAAAAATCTGGGGCTGCGCCAACACATCCATACGTCATCCTAGCAAATATTGTGGGTTTCCGTTATCTGATATTTTCTTTATTAAAATAATAGTTGTTGGCATCGCTACGCTCGTCTAACTTAAAGTGTTTTTATTTTTATTTTACCACCTCCGCAAAACCCAAAGTTGCAACTTGCAACGCTCGGTGGAAATATACTAGCATAAGTTGCATAATTATATTATTGACCGCTCGTTATAGATGATCTGAAAATTAATACTTTGTATTGTAACCTTCCTAACCGCCCGGGCGATATTAATCATATCATTATACAAGAACGATAAAGGTTTTTTTCGGCTGACAATATTATGTATATTTTGGTATCATCTATACAAGTTAAAGTAAACGCTTTTTACTGATGGAAGCTGTAAACCTAACAATGCATTATAGAACTGAACAGTGTTTCACAGGCAATGCAACGCAGACATCAAAAGGTGCCGCACCCTTGTTTTTAAAACAAATACATTGTCCGTCGACACTCACAGTGATCAATAGTAAAACTAAATTGAAATATACTTATACAAATTCGATATTATTTACATCTGGTATCAGGGCTTTCTAACGGTTTAGTTCAGCTATGGCTGTAGAAACAAGTGGAGTGGATATTCTATCCACAAATCTAATTACTGCCGACGTGCTTCATATTGACAAAACCCTATGGAAAGCCTTGAAAGCTACAGGGAATGGCGATTGTCTTTACAACAGCGTTTCCATTTTAATGAAAGGTTAGTAGTTGTCTTCCTTTTATGCTGAGGTATTTTTTAAACAGGCGCAGACCATCTATTTTATTTGGTTTTAATCTTTAAGTTAACTTCCTGCACGAACACATTTTTTTCTAAAATTTTAACAGCCCTCCTCCCTACACAAAAAAAGTCTTTGGGCCATACTTAAAATATGTATTTTTTCTTGTTAATTAAACATAAAAGCCATCCTCAGAACACGGGAAATCGCTTCTGAGACGTTCTAGTAAACATATTTTTTTTAGGGGAAATCCCCCTTACGGGAGGGGGAAGACCCCCTTCCATACCCTCCCCCTCTTCGCGCTACGCGCTCGGGGTGCTGCCTTCACCGTTGACTATTGAGAAAAAATTCTCGACCCCACCCCCCATTAGGAAATCCTGGATCCGCCCCTGACTATAGCTACAGAATATCCGGGTTACTTAGTGAGCGCATTTGGTCTAGACCCGTTTCCTGAGATATGATTAATAAATTCCAACTTGGTTTGTTATTTTAGCTCCTATAAAATATTACACTTTTAATAACCCTATCGTATAGTGTGTAAATGGCCAATGTAAGACTTAATGTACACTACACTCAAACAATGTGGCGGAACCTCGATAGCCCGGACATCTTGTTATCCGGAGGACAATTATAATCAGAAAATAAACCGCAGTCAAATCCGTATCTATAAGTCACCTAATGTTATTCTAAAAAAAAGTGAGATTTAACAGAAATAATCAATAGTCTGTGTATCATAATATATGTATTTATAAAGTAAATTGCTTTTTGGAAGTGAGAAAATGTCATTTTAAGAGAGAATAGAGGTGGACTCTCGAGCAGATTAATGAAAGTTTCAGTAATCCGTCCAGAAATCAAAGTATCGGGACTAAAGAGGTTCCATGAACCCTGAATCATACCGTGATGTTTGGAAATATCTTTGAAGATGAAGATGTTCGGCCTGTCCGAGAAGCTATCTCCGTGTTGGACGAATGCCTCTCGTAAAGTGGCGTACCCATTGAAGACTACGGTAACTATGTTACCGATGTGTAGAGTGAACACATCCCCGTACTTCACACGAAGTTCTCTGAACGTCAGAAACACATTATTCCTCCTCATGCATGTTAGATTTCCTATTACCGGAAGTGGAGTTGGTCCCGGTGGAAGGTTTTTGTGCTGTAAGCGTCTCCTGGAAAGAAAAATCACCAGCAAAACCAAACATACCGCCACCAACAGGAAAAACATGGCCGCACTTTTTAATCCCAATGTACATGTGGAACTTCAGGAGTCAGTTATACCATGTATCTTCATCTGTGACGTAGTGATACCGTTTAGGTCCAAAGCATCGGGATGGTGTGTGCGTCAAATCGTTCCAGACGAATTTTAAAAAATCCAACACATTAGTAGTCGGCAAATAGTTGCACGGCAGATAGTAGATCAATATTCAGATAACTGAATCATTAAATATGATATTACTTATTATATATACAATATTAATTACCCACTACATCAAGTGCATATACATGTATCCGGTTTTGATCCACAATTGTGTGTGTATATATATAAATGAGTAATTGTGCATGTATCATACACGTCTCTGACATGTATTTCTATATATATACCCTAAACTCCAGTGGTACACAGTTACGGATGTACGGAACACACGTACACGTACGAGCTACACTGCTTTAGAATCCTGAAGGCCTACATGTTTACAAATACAACTCCGTGTAAACACACAGCACACGGCGTTATCTAAGCGTAGGTGTGTAGCGAATTCATTAAAAACCATTTACACACCAATAAACAGCAAATGGCGTTATAAACTTCCCGGGGCAGTCGATCGGACGAGATGTCAACAGATGTTTCAGTACTGGTTTATATACACACAGGTGACCCCTCTACTAGTCAAGCGTGTCTAGAAAGAGGGCCTCATCGAGAAACCCGTGCTGTCCTAAAGGCCAACTGGCCGGATTATTGACTTTAATAAAATCACGTTGTCACACGTCCGACCAGCTTTCGTCTATAAAAGTATTTTTAAATGTCATTAATTTATTTTTATGACTGGTATTTGTTAACCATAAAGATAACGTAAAGTAATTTTCCAAAAAAGCTTATAAAAGATATGCTGAAATAAAATTTAAGAAATCTTCGGATGGCATTTACAACCCGAGAGAAAAAACTTAAACAAAACAAAAGTCTGGCGGAGCTTCCTAAACGAAATTTATTACTTATATTTAAATATATATACGGTGTGTGCCACATGATATGATAGCTATCTGGGTAACTCGAGAGATTTACCTACATTACTACATATGGCATCGATTCTGGTTAAGATTTAATTAAAAACGGTTGTGAAACCGATTGGAGAGATTTGTCGTCGCCATAGTATTTGCTATCATTGCTAAGCTGATGACTTACAAACTGTCCCAGCTGTTAAAAACCTAGGGGTTATTGCCAAATCCTGTTACTACCAGATCAGGAACATCGGCTTTATTCGGCAGTTTATAACTGAAGATGCATGCAAAATTTGGTGCATCCACTTGTTACCTCTCGGTTGGATTATCTGACAAACTAACTAGTCGTCTGCAGAGGGTCCAGAACTCGTCCTCGAAAGAGAGAGCACATCACACCTGTGCTATATTCATTGCACTGGTTACCTGTACCATACAGGTCGCAGTACAACATTTTTGTGTACACATACAAGGCACTGAATGAAACAGCTCCTCAGTACCTACATGACTCATGATGATGAGCTTGTTACCCTGTATCAGCCGTCACTATCACTGCGGTCGGAGTCAGAATCATTGTTGTGCGTCCCAAAATTTCGTACTGTGACCTATGGAAACCGATGCTTTGGGAGGGTTTCGGCCACGTTGTGGCATTGCATACCATCTGCTATTAGAAAGTCAAATACCCTGGCCAAATTCAAGAGGGACATCAAAACTCACCCCTTTACATCTGCATTTTAGGGTCTCTGCAAAGACGTCATGTAAATACCACCCTTTTATTTGTTCAATTACATGTTGTGTGTGTGTGTTGTGCACATTGCTTTCTTAGAGTCACGGAGACATGAAATCATTTGTTACAGCTATGTATTTGGACCTAAACTGAGGTGTTCAGAGTAATTTTAGGGGCTTCGTTATATCATCACTGGGGTTGTCATTCTTACCGAAAGTTGGTATAAACCCTTAAAATTTGAATACCTCAATTTAGGTCCAATTAGCTGTGACTAATTCCCATGTCCCTGTGGCTTGGCTAGTTAGTCATTGGTATTTTATAAGTGGCGCACTGCTAAAGTTATTAATGAGGATGGCGTGCCCCCTGGAAGTCATATGATCCTCCAGGAACGGCTTAAACGATTAATTAACTTCCTGTTGTGAAGCATAACATTGATACAATCGGGAATCGTCGGCACTTTCAGTAAACGTCGGAAAGTGCCGAATGTTCCCGATTGAACATTGATATTTACCCAATCTCTATAAATTATACCATTTCATATTAAACGGATGCCTCATATAAATACAATCTCCCTTATAGTTTACAATAGCGACTTTTTATCCGGGATTTGTTTTGTTCTGATGGTATCTTTTGCTAATATTGCACCAAGAATCCGGGGCAGACTGATTTTTGTGGTTAGAACGTCCGGGTTACGTTAAATAAACCTCGCCAGTATTGTTATGTAGTCAGTCGCTTGACGAGAATGAAAGTGAAAATACAGAATGTCGAATTACGATCCCGTATAAATAACTGTAAGCCGATACATACAACAGACGAAAATCTCTATCAAATGTACTTAATATTTAGTTAAATATTTGTTATATATATAAAATAAAATGATAAATAAGATTTAACGGCCGACTACAAAACTTGCAGCTTTCATCCTACACAGGGCTCTTCGGGTTAAAATGTGTTGAAAGCTGCTAGTTTTGTAATCGGCCGTTAATGATACTATATTTGTAGACCAATGAAATCTGCATTAATTTCAAAATAAAAACAACCTAAGCGAGCACAAATCTACGGCAGCCTTACGGAGCTGTACGTCTTGAAAGATTATATTGTAAGATCAAAACGACCTATAGCAAGGAGTCATACTTGGAGAATTCTTACCAGGCGATAGCATTTTCCAAAAGTATATCGAGTACGCGTCCTGTTACGTCACGGCTTGTCATCTATAAGTTAGGTGAACACTGTCTTTAAACGACAGATCTTCGCCTAGAATCAGTATGTTCAAACACACGTATTAAGTTTCCCGAATATTGACCTTTGACTTTTCAAAGTCTTTTCTAAATAACATTGTTTTGACCTTGTGATTTTTTACCCGTCACATGTTAACAACGGAGTGGAATTTTATCATGTCTTAAACCAGTTTCGGGACCCAGTTATATTTCGGTTGGAGAGTTACAACTCTGGTATCGTTGACACATTAGTATACTAGATCAATAATGTGTGGGTACGTTTGTACTAAATCATGATATTAAAGGTGAAATGGTTGCAATATGCAAACACTATGATAGAGATACGAACAATTAAACGTAGACAGCAACAATTAGTGATGAGGTATGCAGGGCGACACGTTTGTTCAATCCGCAACCGAAGGTTTGGTTTGCTTGTGTTTTACGTCCTATTAACAGCTATTGTCATTTAAGGAGGTTCTTTTTGGGCTTCGAAAAGTTTCAGTGTATGCCTCAGCATACAAGCATACATGTATGCTACGCCACTGGTGGTATTGTACCACAATTCCAGATATATGTTCCAACGCTATATAACAATAGTGTTGCACAGACATGTGAAAAGGTACCGTAGCAGTAAACGCAACAAAAGCAAGAGGCATAATAGGTATGTGTTGTCCACTTGTTTACGTGTTCAATGACAATGCAAAAACGTGATGACAGGCTGCTATTCCATTGAAACAATATAATTAATGTGAAGGCATTTATGAATTCGTTTGGTTTGGTTTGGTTTATTTTTTTTAACGTCCTATTAACAGCTCATGGGCCACTTTTATAAAACATCTCAAAGTTAAGGATAATTTCAAGTAATGTATTGTGTAGGGGAAATCTTAGACTTGAGGAAATCTCAAGAGTTGAGATGTTTTATACAAGTGGGCCAAGGTCACTTAAGGACGTGACTCCTGTGTTTAGTGTATGCAGGAGACAGGGCATGTTGGTGTGCTTACCTCCTTGTGACAGCGCGGATCTGATGCCGACGTTATAGTGCTATCTCACTGAAATACCATCCCGAGGGCACTCAGCTCAGCATTCCGCCCGGTCACATTATACTGACAACGGGTAAACCAGTTATTGCCATTCCCCTAAATGCTGAACGTTAAGAAGGGAATAACAACTACCATTTGTAAGGACTTTTATATGTCCCGGTCTGGGGACAGAACCCATTGCCTTCCTCACCAAAGCGAACGCTCAACATTAAGGCCAAAAGTGAGGTGTTGCCATGGGTGCCTGAGATTTATTTTGGTCACTTTTGTGTACCAAAATAGAGGACACCAAAGCAAATCCCCAATTTTGCAGGGGGGTTCCCACATTAGTCGCCTCCTACGATACATGCAGTGCGGAACAGCAGGTGTATTTTTTCCGGCTCCCCCACCTGCAGCAATTCAATTTACACATGTTACTAAATATAGTGGCATAGACTTTTTATGCCTTCATTCTCACGAGACAACGATCATAGGAATCTTTGTATATGTTGAAGAACAAGTTTTCACACTTTTGATACTGTGACCTTGAAATTAGTTCAAGGTCATTTTTGCTCGCAAATTTGTTAACCATCACATAAGCGTGACAGTGGTAGAAATATAAAAAAAAAATGAAGGTAGGTCATGGTCTTTTGCTTTAAAAAAATAAGTACTTCATGCCAGTAATATAAGCTATTTACCAGTAACTCTAGGCTTTTCCTTCTTCAGGAGATTTTTTACACTTAAATTTGACATGTGATCTTAAAACATTGCATCACTCAATCTAGGAGTGATGAAAACGGTTTCATGAATATGGGTCCAGGTGTTTACAGGTTTTTTTTTATATTTTGATTTGACCTCTGTTATCTCTCAAGTAGGTCAAGGTATGCTATTGGTCAAATATGAATCCAAGGCTTTCAGGATTTGAAGTTTGATCCTTCCTACCTTTAAAGGTCATTACTTTCGAAAATTAGTATTCCTTCATTTCAGCTAGCTACTGGCCAAAGAACAAGCTTTCAGTTCTTCATCAGAAGTGATGTTATCTTTGATTCATGTAACGTTGAATACAGGTCAAGGTAATTTCTTTGCTCAAACTTTGAAACTTTCCATGGCAATGTACCGCTGGCCAAATATCATAAATCTAGTGTTTTTGTTTCTTTAGAAGATGTTTTTTTTTTTTTTTTTTTTAACATATCTAGCCCCTGTGATATTGAAAGTAGGTCATATGGTTACTTCTTTTTACAGAAAATTTGTCAGGCTTCTTCCAAGGAAACTACCTGCTAAATTTCAAGGCCTTGTGCATAATGTTATCAAGAAGTTTTTTGGAGAAATCATTGCACGGGTATACTTATACAAAATACAATTTTTGATTCATTTTACAACAATTGTGAGAAAAAAAATTCTAACTTAAACTAAACTAATCACTCTTATTGGCCCAGATGAAAGCGCTTAATATGGGAGGACAACCATGAAACCGGAGTGACCATGGAAAACCCAGGATGTTGGGCAGGTGACCCCATAACTGTTCATGTCTGATGATCGGAGAATACTAATAATATACCAATTTCAAACTGTCCAATTGGGGTGTATTAACCTGTCACTGATACTGTTCAGTTAAGAGTCTTGGACCCTAGATCATGAAACGATCTAAAATTGTCTTCAATTTTGACTTACACAATAACATATAATGTCTATTAAGTCTAGGATTGTTTCATGATCTGGGGCCAGAATATGTAATACAAGATGTAGTTACAATGTCAGTTACAGTTGAATTTAGACAGAGAATTCCATTACTACCCCATTCAATCTCATCTCACTGAAACACAACACCCCCTCCCCCCTTTCTTGGTGAGTGTTATGTGTTGAGATGTTTACAAAGGTCGCTGCAAACAGAACAAAGAAAACATATCGAATCAGAAATTTTATTTCCAATTGTAGGCTAAAAATTGTCAGCACCTTTTCCTATCTACAGTAATTATATACATTTGTATACTCAGTCGAGTACTACAACACAGGACAATGAAAACATATTGGTGTGTCTCAATCCTTCTGTACAGACCCAAATATATATATATTTAACGAAAAATCACTACAGAGATTCTCATATACTGCATGACATTGTTATCAAGACAATGTAGCAGTATTTTTGCTTATTGATGAAACTCATCTAACCAATTTTTGATGGTGAGGTAATTTTCAGTGATAAATAACATCAAAGAGAAAGAAATGGAAATATTTCTTCACTTTTTTATAGTGTGAACAATGAACAAACTTCACATTTTTCAGCTCATGTACTCACCGAATCACCTCAGGAAAACTCTTAATTTAAACACAAAACATGCTTTAACTCATTTGTCCCCGAAAACACATTTGAACTCTTCCAATTCAAAGGTTGGAATAGTTCATTATGACAATTCTGAGGTGAATGATTCAAGATAAATTTCTATGAACATCACTAGTCAAATGCTAATGATATTTTTCTCAAAAACAATTTGTTAAACTACGGACTTCTTCGATAGCAGGGATTTGTATCACCACTTTTATTTTTGCGTATGTATTGTCCACCTCTTGTTATTGCACACCGCACCTTGACGACCTGTGATCCTCGCGATGGAGCCAATTTACCTCAAATCTAATGAAATGGTTTAACAACTACAGCTCGTTTTTTTGTTTTTTTGTTTAATATACTGAGGCTTTACAATCTATTTGTTAACTACTTATTAACTTTGTCAGGATTCATTTCTTAACCAACTACAACATTTATCTTCCAAATTATAGCATGATTCAATTTGATTTTTATGGAAATACTTGTTTAGGAATTGAAATACATTGTTTCTCTCAAGATATTCTATATTTATAAATGACTATTTAAATTGTAAAAATAAGGTTGTACAGTTTAATGGACATAGAGGCAAGGTTTACAAATATAAAAATCTTCCTTTACACTTTCTAAAGTCATATATTCACTCTACGCTTTACAACATTGTTTTCTATACAAGAGATTTCCTGTTTTAGGAGATATTGCTGCAGACAAGGAACATGCATATTTAACAGAATGGCTGTCAAGCTCAGATATCCTTCTTATGGAATGATGCACATCAACAAAAACCAACAGGAGGACACAAAATTATGAAATATCATAAATACACAGCTTGTTTCAATGGACAAATATGAAAGTAAAAAGTGATAGAATAGAAAAGAAAGGAAGAGAAAAAACAAAAAGAAATGTATGCTGAAATTCTTTTTTTTGAATGGTTTCAGTCCTAGGAAACCTTTAAAATGTATTTTTTTAAATAATTTTACACTGAATTAATTGATCACACATTTGAAAGATACACAAAAATACTGTTTTTTTTTTTACAAAGTTCTATCAATGTCACTTATTAAACAAAGTAAGGGAGATAATTCTAACAACATTTCACAGGTACGGTGGTGTATTTTGTGAGATAATGCTGTGTACACCTATAATATATATAGGTACAATGTAAATTGATTAAAGGTTAATAAAGATCTTTGACAAAATTTCTGATCACCTGTTAATATGTCATGAGGCATTATTTTCAGGCTTGCTTCCCCCACTCCCAGAGGTGATAGAAGAAATACTAAGATGAAGAGCAGGCCAATTATTTGAAGAGACCAATACAAATATAAAAGAATACATTATTTACTACAGAAAAATTAATGATAATCACAAGTTTTTTCTCCACAGAAGACATTGCCACAATCAGTGTTCCAAGTAAATTTAGGCCAAAAACAAACAAACACATCATGTTTAGATAATACCGGTCTTCCAACTATTCTTTGAAGTGTTTAGGCCTTTATTAAACCTTTGGATTCCAATTTTCAACAAGCACCACTGAAGTCAGCATCCCCTGCTCTATTAAATATGCGTAAAAAATACCTACCAACCGACCTTGTTTACATGTATTTATTCACACACGCAATAGAAACACAGCCAAATTTTCCCACCTTTTCTGTCCCAGTAATTCAAAATAACTCACAACAGCATATCTTGATATATTGTGCTATCAATCAAACTGATATCCTTCCAAAATAAGTAATTGACAACTAAGTTATTTTACACTGCAGAAATAAGGTGAAGCTCCACGTCTATGAGCCACTTGACTGGATATAAACTTTAAGTTTACCGATCTTTTTATTTGCTTTTTTATTAGATCCTCCTAGATCTAATCCATGACTACAGAGCTATTTCTAATGATATTGCACAAACTAGAATATCTTGTTCCCTGTGTGACTGCGTTCGGTAACCTGTTTGTCGGTTTTTGAAACAGGAAGCCCTCGTCACATCACCAGGACAGTACATCCCAGGTTCTCCGATCACACGAGACTGGATGGTTTCAATTAACACACTCACAAGAAAACAGCTTTAATCAAGTGGTTTTCGTGGTTACCCAGTCAAGCAGGTTCCTTAGTCTATAAATCGACCAGGGCCCATAACCCTATACACAAGTCTTAGGTCACGTGATGAGAGTGTCACCACATTTGCTTCCAGATTTATTTATTCAGGATTACAGGTGAAATATGTATCCAAAACAGTCATTAGCCGAACTTCAAACGCGCCAGGATCCAATATAATACCCGCATTCTGTGTTCGCATGTTTGTCTCATAATCTAGACAAATTCTCTTTGTTTGGACAGAATGTGACCACATAGAAACTACTTGGAAATAATGCAGGCCTTTCAAAAGCATTGCATTGAAAAGCAGCAAAACCACAAAAGAGGTAGTCGGACAATTTTGTGGGTGGTTGTCCTGATGTACTTTGAAGCAGAAGATTTCTCTAACAGAAATTTTCACACCAGTGGTGAGAAAAAACTGTTGTTCGTACTGAGAAGTTTTCGTTTTTTCTGCTTTGCTCCTTTTGACAAAGTGCTGTTTTCACTGTCGTCTGCACTGAGGGATTTCTGTGGTAAAGATTCGAACTCGTCCGAGCTCCTGACACTCTTGTTGCTTACAATATTGTCTAGGATGCGTTTTGACGGTCTGCCTCTCTTAGACTTAACAGCTGCAGGGGGCGCCAATGCCACAGCGTTCTCCTCCAGGTTATATGTACTGTTCAGTGACGAGAATGATGTTGCTTCATTGGAGACGTCTTTGTTGTTACAGAGGTCCTATAGTAAAATAGAACAAAAGAACTTACACATACTAACATCACGGCTTTAAGACCTAATTTTAACTGCGAACCACTACAAAAACCTGTAACTACACATTGGAGACTGTTTTCCAGCATGATTATGATTCTGATATCAAAAAAATCATTTCTGAAAAGAAAAACATACCATGTAAAAAACACACACTCGATAAACCTAGTGTCATTATAAAATTTGATAAAAAATTACTAATGAGAATTAAATAAACATGATAGCCAATATAAATTTAAACTTAATTTATTTCACAAATATTATCAAACAATTGTTTTCAACTTTTATCAATCACTCTTCTTGCATAGATAGAAGCGCTCAGAGGGTGTTAATGTGAGAGGAAACCAGATTCCCAGAGAAAACCAGAGTACCCAGAGGAAACCAGAGTACCCAGAGAAAACCAGAATACCCAGAGAAAATCAGAGTACCCAGAGGAAACCAGAGTACCCAGAGGAAACCAGAGTACCCAGGGGAAACCAGAGTACCCAGAGGAAACCAGAGTACCCAGAGAAAACCGACATGATCGGGCAAGAGACCCAAATCCTTTTTCACATTAAATCAGAAAATTGAACCCTTGCTAACCTGGAAAGAGGTGAAAAGTGCTCTTATCCACTGTGTCACCTTACCACCCATAACCATAACAAACCAGCCCTTATTGGGGGAATATCCACTTAAAAACGTGGAGCTATATACACTTGGGAAAATACTGGGACATTTTGAAGATTATGAAATATCAAAACAACGTTGCAATATAAAGCTACAAAATTTGGACTTTTGTTATCAAGCATTTTGGGAAAGTATGGCTACTATCACCTGGTATTGGTAAGTACTAAAAACAAAAAGCTCACATAGCCCGATACTCAACATTCAGTATTCCAGGGGTTGCACTCACTTACATTCTATGCACCCCTGGAATATGTCAAGACAAAATCAAAGGCTCTGTACGAGCATATGCGCCACAATGTGGCTCCAGGTTGGTACATGTAGACTACTTTGATCCTTTCATGTACATCAAAAAAGGTTCCCCCCCCCCCCCGAAACCAATCAAATAGCTAACCTTGTGCCTTCGATTTTGTGATGACATATTAAAGAAGTGCATAGAACACAAGAGATTGTAACTTGTACCCCTGGAAGCTTGCGGATGAGTACCAGTTCAGAACAAAAACTCTACTTACATTTTGTAAATCTTCTATAGAATGCCTTCTTGAATCTCGTATCATTGTCTTGCGCGGTTTTCTTGTATTCCTTGTATATATTGGTGTTTTGACCCAGTCTGGGTCATTTTCGTCGTCGTCTTTTGCCAAATCATCTTCGTTATCCTGCTCCCAGTCCAGGGCATGCTCCTCATAGGTGAGCAGTCTTCCAGTGGATTTGGTTTTTGGTTGCTGGGCCACAGATCGTTTTTTTTTCTGACAGAAGAAGAAAATGACATTGAAATAAATAGAGGAAAGTGGTGGTGGTCGGAGTTGCCCCCCCTTGAATGACTGACGAACTACACAGGGATAGGCTAGTGAAGACTGCAGCTGGAAAATTCTCCACAAGATCAGAGTATCTGGTACTTATTGCATTGGATTATTGTTTGGTAATTGGTGTCACAGATCGTGAGTTTAGGGCTAGGAAAAGATTATGTATAAATATTGATATGATGTTTTTTCAATGTAAACACACTGCCTAGATTCAAATTAAAGGCCCCACAGGAGCCACGCCCTTTGTTTATACGAAGTTGAGTTTACTTGGTCAAACCATGCTCCAGACCTAACCTTTTTTCGTCAACAAAACTTCACCGCTAGTGTTACTGTTAGGGTGACAGTAGTTATCATCATAAGCACAGAGGTGATGCAAAATGTAACATGTTATGATCAGGGGTTGTTGGTGGAATGACTGGGATGGTCTATCCAAGTAATCAAAACAGAATATTCCCTGGATTAGAAAAAAATGATTTTTTCCAATACTCTTTAACACAATTACTTTACCTTAATTTCTGGAGAAAAGAACGGAGAGGATTCTGGGTTTTCAATGTCCGGCATTAAAGCAAGAGCTTTGTTCTGGTAGGTAGCTTTTGTCAGTTGCTGCAAATAAAATGTATGTTATATATTAGAAATTTTGTCATACTTCACTTTAGTAGTTTAGTATTGAAAGTTTGATAAAAATATGTTCAGAAACACAATCTCATTTGAAGTATTGTTTTTTGACCAATATATGAAGTTTGATAAAAATTTGTGTAGAAATGAAGTTGCTAGGAAATATAAAATGTGAACATGGGTAGGAACTTTGTCATGAGGGGATAATAACTTGTCAGTGCCCTGAATCACCTTGTAAGAAACATAAAGATAATGATAAAATACAAACCTTTTTCAGATTGTCACATTCCTCTGTCTTCAACAACAGGTCCTCATGATATTTGCTCAACTTTTCTATTTCTTGTTGCTGGTTTAAAATATTAAAATATATTTTAATACATTTTCAAATAATAATGATCTCTAGCAGTAACGAAATAAATGTTGGCAAATTTTGACTTTGTTGACCAAAGAGTTTTAAAGCCTACAGTATAGATACCTTAGGATCTAATTCTAAACCCACTCTCTACCAGTCTCTAGATATAAAGCTTATTAACATGTACATTCTTTATACAGTAAAACCTTATTATACTGTCACCATTTGTCCAGAGGAATTTTGGAGTTATAAAGGGTTTGGCAATAAATTGAGGGATATGTAAAAACAACAAGAAAAGGGACGTTGAAATATGTTGGCGGTAAACAAGCGACAAATGAAATGAGGGGCTTTATATCAAGGTTTTACTGTAATTCATAAAATGAACATATCTTATTCAATTTTGAAGTCAATCTGATATTCAGATAAGAATTTATGTCGATTTATCAAAATTCACCTGAATTTGATGTTTTTCATCCAAGAAAGGGACAATTGCCTTTCAACCTGTTTCTGTCTTAAATCGTGATGAACACCTTTATGGCCTATCTATATGGCCGCATTTGTTTTATCGTAATCCAAACGGTTGAATCCGTTGTAACAGTGTTGTTTGTTCATGAAATAAGGTTGGACCTAGTAATCTGATGTTGCTTTCAGGCGAGCCTCAACAAGGCCTGCATAAACATTTGCAGATCCGCCAGGATTTTACCCAAAACTGTTACATTAAAAAAAACCAGGACAATTGTGTTTAGTGACTAAGTCGCAGGTGAGACAAAGATAACAGTTATCAGCTTTCTTACCTGGATTTGTAGTGTTTGTTGTGAATCGCCATCTCCAGCGGTGTTCTTCACACGCTGCAGTAGGTAAAGTACCTGAATAGTTATAAAAAAATTACAATGAGACAATCTGTTAAAAAATCATAATCACTAATCTGTTTGTAATCCAAAGAAGTTAACTGATCGATGCTCGATTGAATAATCAGTTTGTAATTATATGGGACTGAATACCCAAATAAAGGGAGAACACTACTGTTACATCAATAGACAGAGTGGTTCACTGTACATTAGGTTTTCATTATTTTATAATGAATGGAAATCATACCTAACATTGTATATATTTGACTTTTGATTTCAATAATGAACAAATTATATCGATTATGGAATTTGTAATCCATAATTGGAATCGGAAAGGGAAAACCGATCAATTTCTCTATTGTAATTGATCATCAGCCCATCAGTAACAACAATCAAAGTGACATCAGCAGGGTTTTCATTAAGAACAGGCAGCAGGCCAAAATGACTGGTTCAGTTCACGTTTTGACCTGTTCAAATCACCTTTTTCTTATATATCTCGCATGTAATTTTACAAAAGTTGGCTGGATACAAATTTCATTTGGTCTGTTTAATTAGAAGCTTAGAGGAAAGCCTGCATTAGTCATACGCTAACAGTTAAAACTCATCATCAAAGATTGGTTTGTTATTGGAAGTAGTAAAACTAATCGATGATCAATTGCATGATCGGTTCTGACCTTTTCCTCATTTTTCTTCTGAAGCTCCGTCATGGCGGCATCATGCTTTTTCTTGAGCGCTGTGACTGTCTTCTCTAGTGCCGTTATTTCCTCCTTCTTGTCGACGTGGTTGATCTGCGAGTCGCGGAGTTCACCTTGTGCTCGATTGACATCTACTCGAGATGTTACAGCCTGGAACGACACCTACTATTAATGGTGGGCTGGGGTCTTCAAATAGCATTATCAACAATAGGGCTACATTTTAATGAGAACCATAAGTTGTCTGTCGTTTCTTATTTCATATAAATCACAAGATCATTTTTGTACAGAATATATCATGTAGACCACTTTCCTTTGTTTCTACTCCCTTTTTATATTTTTAAAGATATTTTAAATCCTTTTTCTTATATTCAATATGAAAGGGAAATTCAGAAACGCCTGGTTTAAATTCTTCTCATTTTAAAGATTTTTGATTTTGGGATTGTTCTCTGTTAAAATGGGAACGAGAATATTTAAATCTCATTGGGAATGGGGATTACTTTCTCCTCAAGTATATCCACAGGAAATGTCTGTCAGTCCATGCATTGAAAATACTTGCCTGTTCCAGCAGCCACTTCATCCCACATTTAGCCTCAGTCATCGTGTGAAGGCTTTCCCATGTTGCTTTTCCTTTACAGTCTGAAACATAATGATAAAACAATGTTTGAGATACTGAGCTGCATGCATCTAAAGTGAAATTAAACCAACATGGAAGGTGCCACACCATGAAACATTTTTTAATATGAACAGGGTTATGTGACATATTATCCAAGTTAGAAATACAGACATCGGACAAAATCTACTTTGAAATACAGGTTACAATATATACAGGTGGAGTGGGGTGAAGCTAAAAGGCGTTTCCTTTGCAGCCTCCAACCACAAGGATTTATGTGTTTGTAAATGTATAAGCCACCTTCCTTAAGTTGGGAACAAATTATCATATGCTGTAAATATCCATGTGACTAAATCCACATTGCTTTCTGTAAGATTTTCTTAAATCTTGTTTGTTTACCCTTTCACCACTGTAGACCAAAATGGACTCATCCAGATCAATACATAGTAGAGTCTACTAAAGCTGCATAGGGGTGAAAGGGTTAGACACCACCTACTGAGTATTAAAGATATCTGATGAACAGAGCTTCAACATTGACTGTAGATGTTATGTCACTTAATCCTTTCACCACTGTGGACCATAATGGATTCAACCAGATCAATGCATGGTCGAGTTTACTAAAGTAACATAGGGGTGAAAGGATTAAAAAGCATCAACAATCAGAATTTACAGCTCAACAAATAACCAGGACTCACTTTGATCCGCATCAACTATTTTCTGCTGGAGGTCCGAGATTTGGGCATTCCTGTAATAAAACAGATTTCATTCAATGTTGATTAGATTATCCGATGCAAAATGTTTATACATGCACAACATTTGTGTGGTCATAGATCAAAACAGTGGTATATCCAAGATGGCGGACATTTGTGAACATGGTACTCGCAATTAAGCCCCCTCCCTACTTTTGGTCATTTTTTTCCTCACTAGGGGTGGGGGCCTATTTGCGGTCAAATACGGTATGTAAATCTGTTAAGTGTGTGAAGTGATTCACATACTGACATAGGCTTAATATCAAGGTACCCGAAAGCTGTTCCCGGGAAACAGAACATTCCTGTAGATTATTTCATTCAAAGTACATGGTAGTCTAGTGGTAGGACACCCGACTTATGACCGAATGGTTGCGGGTTCGAGTCAAGTCATAGAACGATGTTGTATCTTTGAACAAGATACTTTACTCCGCTTGTTCCAGTCTACTCAGCTGTAAATGAGTATGTGGTTGGGCAGTGCTAGAATTGTAGAATGCTAGCTGTGAGCGACGAAATGGCAGCACTGGCTGTAGGCTGTATGCTCCCAAGGGAGTTGAGAAAGATATTGGTTGGTTGCAATGACTCAATGACCATGGATAATATTTGTGAACCGCTTTGAGACAACCTAAGACATAAGAACTAGGTTGTGATAAAGCCATATATAAGAACCTCAAATTATTATTACAAACCTCAAATTGATTTCTTGTTCAACAACTTGAATTTGATTCTTTGTTGACTCCTCCTCAAAACTTCCCTCCACTCTGTAGCAGTCAGAGTTCTCCCAAGCAAATTTCTAGAAAAAAATATGTAAAATATAACCAATAAAGCTAGGGGTGCAACTTCTTACTGATGATAGACACAAAAAATCATCAGATTAAAAAAACAAACTTATATTAAGTCTGTCCAAAAGATTGTCATTGCAATGCTTAAGTAAAACCTTCCGATATTTCCATGTAAAAATCAATTGAATTTAAACGTGATAAAATATTCCAATTAACAATGCGTCCAGTCACTCAGTACAAACTGCATTGAGTATGTAAAACCTAAAGTGAACAAAGTAACCTCTGTCTTAACTGAACAGAGTATGGTAAAAAGTTCTTAACCAAACACCACTGCAACCAATCATTTCATTCGGAATAGGCATTTTTTTTATAACAAAAGTTGAAGTTTCATAGAATTGTATAAAAGTAGGATCAAATGGAAAGTCTCGTTTAAACAGGTTCCTGGACTACACAGGGTCTGGTTCACACAGGTTAAATTGTATATATATAGGAAAATGTTGATATTTTATTGAATACCTTTTTGGGTGGCTCCTCTCCTATCTTCACCTTAAGTTGACGGAGTTGTTCGGTCAGAGTTTTGCGGTCAGTGAGAAGGCTCTCCAGGTGGTACTTGGCCTCTCGGATGCTCACACGAATCTCAAACTCGTGACTCAGCCAGGTCTTTTCATGCAAAAAAAAAAAAAAAATCATATTATTGTCGTTAACTAGAAAAAGAACAATCTAAATTTTGTTTTATGTTTCTTATTCATTCACAGACACCTTTTACGATAAAACATTAAAACTACAAAACAAAAAACAATATCTGATGAAACAGAGTTTCATCTTTTCAAAAAATATAATTTTGCATTTTTGCATTTTTTGCCAGAAATCATGTTACTGTATCTTGCAACTACACTTTGTTCGGACATTGTGAGTCTGAACGTACCCGCACTCGGTTACCAATGGAGGATGCGTCAGATTGCTGTAACTTGGAGCTGCGCTCAGCTAGAACCTGTTTCTGTTTGGCTAGTGCTTCCTTCAGCCTTTTGTTGGCTGCTGCAGCCTGTAATAATAAAAACATCATAACCATTGATTGTCAAACATACAGAGTTACTAGCCATTATTAAATGCTTGATAATTTCTAAAGATCCAATTGGCCACATCCTGTAAAACCTTGCATCCAATGCAAACTGTCTCATTAAAAACCTTTGGATTTTTATTTTTATTTTGTATTAAAACTTTTTCTGTTTTTCTTTCTATAAAAGCATGTAATTAAACAGTTATGGACTTTTGTGCAGATAAATATGATGTGATATCGAACCTGAAAACGTGATATTGACCTTGGCTTCACCTCTGTTAATGTAACTTTTTCAGGTTCATATTACATGATATGCATCATTATAAAAGTCTATCATTATAAAAGTCTATCATTATATAATATTTACCAAAAACAGATAAGATAGGTTTGGCACTGCAGGCAGTGTCAGAGACCAACAGGCCAATATTTTAGATAAAAGGTAGCTGAATATTACCTCCTCCGACTTTCTTTTGAGAACACTGGACTGTTTTTGGTTTTCTCTTTGTAGCTTTGCAATCTCACATTGTCTTTTCCTGTCCTGTAAAATTGTAAAACAATTCAGTGAGTATAAAATATGAAATAAAAGTATTCTCATTTTAACACATCTTGGGAGATACTGAAGGGAAGTCTCATTCAGCTGAAAAGACAAAGCTCGAAAGCTGGTGTATATCTGTGAAGGACTTATTACACCGACAAACTCAATAGTCTCATTACATCCAGTGGATACCACATACCACAAGAACTCTAGGGAAGTGAATATGTCACCTGTCCCAGCTGGTGGCCATTTTAAATCTACAAATATAAACTAAAGAATATTTCTAAAAACCTTAGTTTACTGCTAATTCATCAGATTTAAGCTCAGTTTCCTATCCAGTGACCTTGAAGCTAATCAATACTCATATCCCCATATAATAGGGGTGTGTATCGCGAGTGATGCTGCGATACGTAACGTATCACGATACTTGGGTCGCGATGTGATACGTATCACGATATCTGGAAGATATATACAATGTGTATTTAGCAGTTATTTTAAACCTGTCTTCATACTTTTTATTTGATGCGAGTATAATAGATACAATATAAATAACATTTAATGTAAAAAAGTACTATGTAGACATCATTCAGATCTTGTATTACTTCACTTCTGACTTGAATATAATAAATGAAATATGCTGCCTGGAATGGAGTGAAAGTTTAGGATTTAGAGTGTTAATTTATTCCTCAAAACCATAATTGTCAACAACAGAAAACAGACGAAGATTTATTAAGTGATAGCTGTCATAATTGGTTTTGAACAGAAACTGTCACATTTCGAGTTTATTACCCAACATAGAAGTAAGCCAGACTTGTTTGATATATCCTTTTTAATGTTATAAAAGACGTGTAACGTGAGCTTTTGTCAAACTGGCACTGTAAAGATCGAAGAATTGACGAGTCATATGCATGTTCGTGGTATTTCCCGCATATTTAAGCTTTCTCCGACGTTCATCGCAATACAAAAACAATGTGTCCGTCTTGAATTCATTATCTTTGGATTTAGAAGATTTGAAAGTAAACCATTGCAAGATAGGAGACTTGAAATGTGCATATTTCTCGTCATCGTTTCGCGACCACCATTTTGGTTTGTTGAGTGCTAACACTTTCTTTCTTTGAAGAGTTCCAACAAGGAAGAGTACAAAATGAAAAGTATCGCAGGGATCACGATGGCCCATTTCATAAAAATAAACTGGAACTATAGTATGGGAGGATTGGTCGAGTGGTTAACTCTCCGGCCTGCCACGCAGGCAGCCAGGGTTCAATCCCAGAAGTCATTGTATGCACGGATATTCAGAAAAATGTGTTTTTCTCCTGCCCACATAACTCAAACAACCCAGGTGGAGTATAAAATGGTCTAGGGTGGATGTTGCTGTATCTGTGCTGTAGCATACAAGTTAAGTGGCACTATAAATGATGCCGTTGGAAGCACGGTCTCACTGCAAACAGAACACATTACATATCCAGCACACACGCAGGCATACACACATAGGGAGATATTAGCCAGGTGGCATAGGCCAAGTAGTTAGCGCCTGATAAGGCAGCTCATGCGAATTCTTCAAAATTGTATTGATTAATGTATATGCTTATTGTATTAATTGTATATATCTATGTACTGTAAAGCACTTTAGAGTGGCTTATGTTAGCTAGATAGCTAGGGCGCTATATCAAATGTTGTATATTATCATAGTCTGTTTCAAAAACATAAATATATATATAAAGACTATAGTTAAGGTCTTATAAACAAGGGAAGGATACACTACCTTCTGCATGAGCTGCAGGACCTCCTTGTCTTTCTTTTGTTTCCATTTACGGAATGTTTCTGATTCCTCCTTCATTAGTTTCATCAGTTTAACACGATGATGCTTCAAGTCCTGTACAAATAAACGTATAGAACGGTTTAAAGCTTCAAGTCCTAGTCAAATACATGTATGTAATGTTAATTGTACACACTCCTACACAATCAATTCTCATTATAGAACCGTTTTTCATGGCCTCTAGCCATCAAAATGCAGTAGTTAAATGGTGGAAGTTTCTTTAACATCTCTCACCAGAATCCTCAGAAATCTGCATTATTGAGAAACGTCATCCAAGGTTTTCAAAGCATAATATCTATTTAGCCATTTTGGTTATGACAACAGCATATTTATTTGAGTTCATTATCATTATCATCTGCCCATTGCCCAACTCCAATGAAGTATAACCTTGTCAAACTTTGGGACGATGAAAAATTGTATTACCACTTAAACACTGGCAGCTAGCCTACTATAACCCTGTTAAAATACATCAGAAGTGCCATGGAGCCATTTTTTTTCTCCAAAATACTTATTTTAGCAGTAAATCATATTTTAACAATTAGACTTACCTGGTACATCAGGATGTAACTCGACAATCGTAGCCCATGCTTGTAAATATTTTAGAGTGTCAATATCTATAGTAAGTTCACAGTAAAGAGGGTATTCAAATTTATATAAGTTTCTGATACTGAAGATGGGCCACAGTTTAGAATTCATACCTGTATTTTTGTAGTTTAGAAGTCATACCTGCATTTTTGTAGTTCAGAAGCCATATCTGTATTTTTGTAGTTTAGAAGTCATACCTGTACTGTTGTAGTTTAGAAGTCAAACCTGTATTTTTGTAGTTTAGAAGTCATACCTGTATTGTTGTAGTTTAGAAGTCATACCTGTATTTTTGTAGTTTGGAAGTCATACCTGTATTTTTTTAGTTTGGAAGTCATACCTGGTTTATTTTAGTTTGGAAGTCATACCTGTTTTTTTGTAGTTTGGAAGTCATACCTGTATTTCTATAGTTTAGAAAACGTACCAGTATTTCTGTATTTAATTTTGACACCTGCTTGTCTGAGGAATCTTTCATCTTCAACAGCCTTGTTTGCTCATTCATTTTCTTCCTCAGGTCAGTGATCTGCTGCTCAAGTTCTTTAAGTCGCTTCCTTCTCTGTTCAGCAACTCTAAAACAGCCAGGACATATATATATATTAAATGTATACCAGTTACTTTTGTTATATTGTAGTTCATGATTCAATTCTTGAAAGGAATTAATATTTTTGTATATCTATATATATATGAATATCAATCTTTATTCTGTATAGCGGTTATATTTTGCTATATTCGTGCTTTGACTAATATCTGCGAATTCTAAACACCAGTGAAAATATTGATCATGTTAACCACTTTTACGGACCTTATCACATCATGTTTAAAATACTTATAAACCAATGCTGTTATGCAAGCTTAAATGAACTCAAATCAGATTATCACTGGGCAACTGGACAGTCTGTGAATTTAAAACACTATACAGTCTTAAACCTGTTTCATAGCATTCAGTCAATAAAACCAAAGCAGAAATTGATTTTAACAAGTCATAAATCTTGAATGTCTTTCTAAATGTTCAGTTTAAAAAGTTCTTTATACTTTATATCATGGNCCCCCACGAAGTCAGTAAAATGATGACAAAGAATCTGTAGATAAAATAGCAATAGTAAACCTTTAAATAGCAACTGTGACATTGGAACCCTGTAATACATACACATCTATGGTGTAGTATGTATTCTCATACAGGATGGACAGGAGTAACACTATACCCCCTCCAAATTCTGATGGAAAGGCATAAAAGTAGACAATGTATAAGAGCCTGAAGAAAAGATCACCAATCTGGATGATCAACAAAATAAACAAGCTTAATATTGTATCTAAGTGATCTTCAATGTACTTACAGGGCTAGAAAATAAGGGTATGTAGCCCGATAGTCTGAGACCAGTGAAATCTCCAGCTGGACTAGTGGTTTTAAAACAGGTAGCCTGATTGACTAGTCAACATTTGGTATTACATGTACATGTACTTTGTTTTGATATTACTTTGTTGAATAATTTGGGTTGATAATAGTGGCATTTGCACATGGAGTAGTAAAATTGGAAACTACTAGTCCCATTGACTAGTAGTTTTGAAAAGGAATTTCTAGCCCTGATTTATTTGCATTAGATATTTTACCAAAGAATCAAAATAATGAACCTCTTATCAACACAAGCACCGTATGATCAAAGCAAAATCAAAAGAACTTACATGTACATATTTACATCAGAGTTGACTCTGGCAGAATCAAGTGAACTTACATATTTACATTAGAGTTGACTCAGGCAGAATCAAGTGAACTTACTTTTTTACATTAGAGTTGATTCTGGCAGAATCAAGTGAACTTACTTTTTTATTTTACATTGGAGTTAACTCTGGCAGAATCAAATGAACTTACTTATTTACATTAGAGTTGACTCAGGCAGAATCAAGTGAACTTACATATCTACATCATAGTTGACTCTGGCAGAATCAAGTGAACTTACTTTTTTACACTGGAGTTAACTCTGGCAGAATCAAGTGAACTTACTTTTTTACATTAGAGTTGACTCTGGCAGAATCAAGTGAACTTACTTTTTTACATTGGAGTTAACTCTGGCAGAATCAAATGAACTTACTTATTTACATTAGAGTTGACTCTGGCAGAATCAAGTGAATTTACTTATTTACATTAGAGTTGACTCTGGCAGAATCAAGTGAACTTACATATTTACATTAGAGTTGACTCTAGTAGTTCTATCGAGTGAACCTACTTATTTACATTAGAGTTGACTCTGACAGAATCAAGTTAACTTACATATTTACATTAGAGTTAATTCTGGTAGAATCAAGTGAACTTACTTATTTACATTGGAGTTAACGCGGGCAGAATCAAGTGCCGATTGCATATCATCCTTTTCTTTTTGTAGGACAGAAACTTCTATTTCCAAATCTTTTAAAGCACTCTGAAAAAGAAATATTTTCCATAAAGGGTAGAATTATTTAAATGTTATATTAAGCCAATTATAAATGATGAGTCTATTAACATATTGTATAAACATACAGGCAGTGATTTTATTGCCTCGTTTTACAGCCAAATATAGACTGCTTTCCCAAACATTTTTTTCTCTCTCTAATTTCCCAAAATGAAGGAAAATCAGAATTCTTCTCAATTTCAGTGTAACAATGCTACATTTTCTCAATTCATGTAGGAACAGGCAGATGTAAAATATAGGTAGAAAAAACAAGAGGCCCATGGGCCTAAACGGTCATTACACAAGTATGTATTTAACACTAGTGGCCGTAAATTTCCATTAGCACAATATTCATTTATAGAGTACTCCTAGGCTTTACATTAGTGGTAACATGTCCCTCTTTGTGGACAACCAAAAACCACCTTTTGGGTTGAAACTTTCTTAGTCTACATCACACAGACATGATTCACGCGAACATCAAAACAGAAGAAAGTTTTCTACCTCAAACTGCTTCTTCATGACATCCATATGTTCATCACTTCTGGTCATCTGCGAGGCTAAGTGCTCCTTTTTCTCTAATAGTTTATTGAGTTCAAGCAATTCACGATTCATGCGGGCCTGCCGCAGAGCGTACTCGTTAGACAAAGCCCTGCTCTGGGGCGTTCCTGGCGTAGATTCCTGTCCCTGCAACCCATCAATGTCAAAAATAAATTGTAATTGAACTTAAGGCTATATATGCTACATTACTCATTATACCTCTGAGTTGCTTTACTTATATCTCCTTCTTTCTTTCATAACCTAATAATTAAAAAAAAGATCTGAGTTAAGTCTTACTGATACATGCATTCATGGGTATCTTCTGTAGATGTAATGATTTTATAGACCTACATGAATATAGTTGTGAAGGTTGTGACATTATTTCCAAAAATATAATATTCAAGATTCTTTTTAGCATCCTCAAATATTTATAGCACATGTATTTTCAATGATTAAAGTACTGATGTTTAAAAGCAACCACCAAATACTGCAATATATCAACACTATGACATATTGTTTTACTCTACACCAGCAAGTAAATGTCTGGAACAATTCAGAACCTTATCAATATATTGTGATGTTTGTAAGTTTTATAACCAAATGAATTGCTTTTACCTAGGCAAGGGCTGGGACAATTCAGAACCTTAACAATATATAGAGTGTTACTTGATCATTACCTCCTCGTCCTCATCTTCCTCCTCCTCTGACACAGCATCTGTTTCTAGGTCCTTGTCTTCCTCAGACTGAAAAAACCCAATAACAATCACTGGTAAGAAATATATGCTATGAATAGACAGTGTGGTCGGGTGGCCCAGTAGATAACGCATTCAACTTTCACCAAGGTGGTCGGGGTAAATTTCCAAATCAGACGTGAAACGATATGGTGTCACCGCCCCGACCATGTGCATTTTTCTCCAGGTACTCTGGTTTCCTACCACATTAAGACCCCTGCATGCTAACATCCAGGCCAACAAGAGTGATTAATATAAGTTGAAATAACTTGTTTAATAATTAATATAAAATAGATAAAGTTTATGTTTATGTTATGAATAGACAAAGCTTTAAAAAAGTAATTATTGATAATAACCTGTCCGATCACAATATACCGTCTTTGTGTATTGCAGAGTTATCTTCTCTTGTGAGCAGGTATTGATTGTTACATCATTGGTTTGTGTGAGAAAATTACGGCGTTTTCTCAAAAATTGATGATGTAAATCTCACAAACAAATGACATAACAATCAATACCTGCTCACAAGAGCAGATAACTCTGCAATACGCAAAGACGGAATACCCGACTATAATATTAAATTATATCCTTTTTAAAGTACTAAATGATTATCAGGTATCATTTTACTCGAGAGCAGAGAATTAGGGTCAGAACCAAGGCTGATCCTATCCCACATGGATGTTCCACATGGGACACATAGGAAGAGGTAGATTTTTTTTTATGACAAGCAAGTTGATCTCGGCTTGCAAAGACGGGAATTTTAAGCTATGATGAAATACTGACCGAGTCTGCTTGCATCTTATCAGCAAGATTCTTCAGTTTATCAAGCTGTTCTTTGAGAACTGGATTGCTCTCGACATCAACGCTGGAGCTGAGGACTTCCAGATCCAGTCTTACAATAGATAAAGCAGAAACATGATCATGCACTTATTAATAAAAAGAAAATTTTCACTGCAGTTTTCACTTGTAGCGGAACTGGACTGGGTCGATCACAGGCAACCAGGTAGCTCGATTGGTTAGAGCGTCTGTGTAGTGTTCGGAGGGACACAGGTTCGAACATCAGTCTGGCCATGCATTTTTTATGCTCCTGTCACAAACTTTTGCTTATTTTGCCTTCTGTAATGGGGTTAATTTGTCATGACAGCACATAGTAGCACACATGCATTCTATACATAGTAATTACTTGTGATTAATAAAATAAACACAGCAGACCCCTGTTGTTTATAGGTTGGCTATCTTTCACCAGTGGTTAGCGAAATATTTAAATTGTTGTCAATAAGGAGCAAGGGCTTTCAAAGCAAAATAAATCCTCAAATCACATCGACTTTTCACAACAAATCTAGCAAGTGAAAAGATATAATGATCAGATGTTCTTAATTTTCTTTTATTCATATTTTTCAGTTTTCCCTAACCACTGGTTAACCACGCTTAGAGCAACCAGGGCCAGGTGTATATGGATTTTATCAGTGAAAGGCAAATATCTGACTGGATGAACGTTTCCTGTATAAAACACAGCAAGCCCACAGATAGAATGGCTTTTTCTTCCTTAATTCACATTCAAAACCAAATTCATACTGGCATAATTTTTACAATCTATCACCCATATATGTAAGTGCTACATGCCCTCGCCTTCAGTCTCCTATGTCATAATTTTTACAATCTATCACCCATATATGTAAGTGCTACATGCCCTCGCCTTCAGTCTCCTATGTCATAATTTTTACAATCTATCACCCATAT